TTGAAATAATATCACTGAAGCTTTTCTGTGTAAGATATGCTAAAGATTTTCTTTTCAAGGTTGAAGTATGATGTTAATCCTACCAGTTGATATATGGACTCTGCTGGAGTTCCATGGTTTTAAAGTTCATCTAAGTCAATCATTGAAACACATCCACAGAGAGAATAGAATGAAGTAGGCATGACAAAGCCCAAACCCAGTACAGGTATGAGGAGTGAAATTCGAAGAAGCACATATCTTTTCTTATTTAAGCCTACCTCTCAAATCTCAATAAAACAGTAAAAAATTAGAAGAGCTTATGATGGCATTCTGAATCTATTCTTCCAGTCAGAAAGGCCTTTAAAAGGAGCACAATGCCCATCTTTTACTACCCGTTTTTGTAAGTGTTCTAAACTGATAGCCAAAAGGTCCAGCCATTTCCCATTTTAGAATTCCTTTTTCTGACAGATGCCATTAGCTCATGCCTGTAATCTTAGCTACTCAGGAGGCTGAGATCTGAAGATCACAGTTCAAAGCCAGCTGAGGCAGGAAAGTCCATGAGACTCTTCAATTAACCACCAGAAGTGGCTCTGTGACTCAAGTGGTAGAGTGCTAGCCTTGAGCTGAAGAGCTCAGGGACAGTACCCAGACCCAGAGCTCAAGCCCCATGACAAAAAAAAAAAAAAAAGAGTTTTACTTTACTTAGCTTTTTCCCCCATCTGTGGTTAAGTGGTTAAAGTAACAGGAGAAACAGAGCTGCTGATTTTCACAATGACTGAACATGAAAGTGAAGATACAGGAAGTAAGATGTTCTCAGGAAGCCAAGAACTAAAGGTAACACAATTAGATTTGCTAGCAGCAACCAAGGTGCAGGCATTGAAAACTAATAAGCATCTGGTATAAATAAGAAATAAGGGGGCTGGGAAGGTGGCTCAGTGGTAGAGCGCTTGCCTTGCATGCTCGAGGCCCTGGGTTCGATTCCTCAGCACCACATAGACAAAAAAGAAAAAAGGCGGAAGTGGCGCTATGGCTCAAGTGGTAGAGCGCTAGCCTTGAGCTGAAGAGCTGAGGGACAGCACCCAGGCCCAGAGTTCAGGCCCCATGACCAGACCAAAAAAAAAAAAAAAAAAAAAAGAACAAAGTACATATAGGTCTCAAAAGTTCCAATTAGGGCTGGGAAGGTGGCTCAGTGGTAGAGCGCTTGCCTTGCATGATGAGGCCCTAAATTCGATTCCTCAGCACCACATAAGCAAAAAGAAAAAAAGCCGGCAGTGGTGCTGTGGCTCAAGTGGTAGAGCACTAGCCTTGAGCTGAAGAGCTGAGGGACAGTGCCCAGGCCCAGAGTTCAGACCCCACAACCAAACCCCCCCCCAAAAAAAAACAACTTCCAATTAGCCAATAAACGAATACAATAGAGCACAATAGAAGAGACTGGGAGCTATTTTCTAAAGGGAGAGGGAAAAGATGAAAGAATTTGAGCTTCATGAATACTGTGTATGTGAGAAGAGACAGAGAGACAGAGAAAGAGAAGTAGCCGGGTGCAGGTGGCTCACACCTATGATCCTAGCTACTCAGGAGGCTGAGATCTGAGGATCACAGTTCAAAGCCATCCCAGGCAGGAAAGTCTTGAGACTCTTATCTCCAATGAATCACCAGAAGTGGCACTGTGGCTCAAGTGGAAGAGCGCTCGCCTTGAGCTGAAGAGCTCAGGGACAGCACCCAAGCCCAGAGTTCAAGCCCCATGAGCTATTAAAAGAAAAGAAAAGAAAAGAAAGAGAAGTGATCCTTTTCCGGTTCATAAGCGTGATGATTGGGTTCTCACTCGCTTGCGTGATATGTGCCTCCCTCTAAACCTTGTTATGACATGGGCACATTACCCGTCTGATGTGCAAAAAAAAAAAAAGAAAGAAAGAAAGAGAAGTAACTGGGGCTTGAACTCAGGGGTCTTGCACTCTTGCTTAGCTTTTTCTTTTTCTTTTTTTTTTTCTTTGCCAGTCCTGGGGACTGAACTAAGGGCCTGGGCACTTTCCCTGAGCCTCTTTTACTCTAGCACTCTATCACCTGAGCTTCAGCGCCCCTTCTAGCTTTTTTCTGTTTATGTGGTACTGAGAAATCTAACTCAGGGCTTCTTCAGGCAAGCACTCTACCACGAAGCCACTTGATTAGCTTTTTCATTGAAGGAATTCTACTACTTGAATCAAAACTCTACTTCCAACTTTTTGCTGGTAGTTGGAGGTAAGAGTTTCTCAGGTTTGTCTGACTGGGCTCAATCCTCAGCTCTGAACCTTCTGAGCAGCTACAATTACAGGTAAGAGCCACTGGCTCCCAACCCTTTGATGTTGTTTTTTCCTCTGTTGTTTTTTTTGTTGTTGTTTTGTTTTTGGTCCATCATGGGTCTTGAACTCTGGGCCTGGGCGCTGTCCCTCAGCTCTTCAGCTCAGGGTGAGAGCTCTACCACTTGAGCCACAGTGCCACTTCCGGTTTTCTAGTGGTTTTTATTGGAGATAAGAGTCTCACAGACTTTTCCTGCCCGGGCTGGCTTTGAACCGTGATCCTCAGATCTCAACCTCCTGAGTAGCTAGGATTACAGGCGTTAGCCACCAGTGCCCGGCTCCTCTAGTATTTTTAAGTCTGTAATTTTTTTTTTAAGAAATTGAGGCCAGACACAGTGGCTCATGCGTACAGTCCACCTTTTCAGGCGGCAGATACCAGAAGGATCAGGGTTTGAGGCTATCTCAAATAAAAAAAAAAAAAAGAAAGAAATTAGTGAGACTACGACTCAACAAATAAGTCACTTTGGTTTATACCTGCCATCCCAGCTACATGGAGGCTTATATTGAAGGATCACAGTCTGAAGCTGGCCGTGATCAAAAATGTTGAGGGCAGCTAAAAAGGGCTGAGGAATGTCTGGAAACAAGAAAATGGAAGATTTCAAGATGAATGAGGTCAACAAAGAGCTACTGAACAACAAATTAACAGATTAGGAAAATCAGAAGTTTAATTGCTGATGTTTTTTGAGTTGGTTTTTGGTTAGGATTTTATTATGTTGCTTTTGCTGGTTTCAAAGAAACAGAAGGTGTGCCAATGTATACAAGTAGGATGGGGCTGGGAAGGTGGCTCAGTGGTAGAGCGCTTGCCTCACAGGCATGAGGTCCTGGGTTCGATTCCTCAGCACCACATAAGCAAAAAGAAAAAAGCTGGAAGTGGCACTGTGGCTCAAGTGGTAGAGCGCTAGCCTTGAGCTGAAGAGCTGAGGGACAGTGCCCAGGCCCAGAGTTCAGGCCCACTACCAGACCCAAAAAATAAAAATAAAAAATAAAAAAAACAAATAGGAGACAAGGAAAATGTTGGTACGCATACAGTATGAGGACTACTAACTTATAAACAATCATTAAGCATGGTGGTGAAGATCAATAGTCACAGCACTTGGGAGTCTGAGACAGGAAGGTCACCTAAACTCAGGAAATTGAGACCATCTGGGCAACATAGCACAACATTGTCTCAAAAAGTAATAAGTCAGGCGCAGAGGGCTCATACCAATAATCTTAGCTACTCAGCAGGCTTGAGATCTGAGGATTATGGTTCAAAGATAGTCCACAGAGAAAATTACCAGAGACTTTTTTTTTCTTCTTGTCAGTCATGGGGCTTGAACTCTGGGCCCAGGCCTTGCTCAAGGCCAGCGCTCTTTTGAGCCACAGTGCCACTTCCAGTTTTCTGAATGGTTTATTGGAGATAAGTGTTATGGCCTTTCCTGCCCAGGCTGGCTTTGAACTGTAATCCTTGGATCTCAGCCTCCTGAGTAACTAGAATTACAGGCATGAGCCATCAGTGCCCAGCTAAGGCTCTTATCTTTTTTTGCCAGTCATTGAGCTTGAACTCAGGGCCTGGGTGTTGTCCCTGAGCATCTTTTGCTCAAGGCTAGCACTCTACCACTTGAGCCACAGCACCATTTCTGACTTTTCTATGTGGTACTGAGGAATAGAACCCAGGGCTCTGTGCATGCTAAGCACGCACTCTACCACTAAGCCACATTCCCAGCCCTCCCAGAGACTCTTATCTCCAAGTAACCACCAAAAAATCAGAAGTGGAGCTGTAGCTCAAGTGGCAGAGTAACAGCCTTGAGCAAAACAGCTAAGGAATAGTGCCCAAACTCTGAGTCCAAGCCCCATTACCAGCCCAAAAAATAATCATAATCATAATTAGGTTATTAAAGCCTTAGACTATGAGTAGAAATATTAATAGAAAATAAAGGTTAAAATGAAAAACAGCTTTTTTTTTAAAAAAAAAAAAAAAGGAGCTAGGGGCTGGGAAATAGGCTCAGTGGCAGAGTGCTTGCCTTGCATGCCTGAGGCCCTGGGTTCGATTCCTCAGTACCACATAAGCAAAAAGAAAAAAGCCAGAAGTGGTGCTGTGGCTCAAGTGGTAGAGTGCTAGCCTTGAGCTGAAGAGCTGAGGGACAGTGCCCAAGCCCAGAGTTCAGGCCTCACGACTGGATCCAAAAAAAAAAAAAAAGGAGCTGAGGAGAGCTGGGAATGTGGCTTAGTGGTAGAGTGCTTGCCTAGCACACGTGAAGCCCTGGGTTCAATTCCTCAGTACCACATAAACAGGAAAAGGCGAGAAGTGGTCTGTGGCTCAAGTGGTAGAGTACTAGCTTTGAGCAAAAGAAGCTCAGGGACAGGGTCCAGGCCCGGAGTTCAAGCCCAAGAGTGGCAAAAAAAAAAAAAAAAGCAGCAGCAACTGAATCCAATAACATTGAGTGATAATACCCTGATTTATCTACTTCCCTCCCAAAACTTAATTTATATGTTGCATAATGTTTGCACCCTGATATAGTATCTAATTCTGCCTTACTTTACTGCCACATCCTACAAGAAGTCAAAATGAAAGCTAAGTGCCTCTTCTCACCCTACCTGACCCTGTTCCCTTCTGATGGTGGATTAAGGGCTAGAAATGAAAGTCATTCCTAAGTGAAAACTGGAAATTTTTCTGATTAGCTCACTCAAATTTATTTTAACACTTACCAACATCACCATAAACATACAGGCCCCTGGGAGGTTTGCTCCTTGAAAAAAGCTGCAAATTAAAAACAAATTATAAATCCCTTCCATGAAAATAATTAAGCAGAATCACATACTGTGATATATATAGGTTATATATAATTATTATATTATTACAATTATATATAATTACTATATTATTATATATAATTATTATATACAATACATAAGAAAGCTTCATATAAATCTATGAACTTAGATTATTTTGCAGTTTTAAAAGACAGAAATCCTGACAAAGCTAACAATGTGGAGAAACCTGGGAAACATTTTGTTAGCTGAAATAAGTCACACCAAAAAAATACTGTATAATTCTACTTATATGAGGCACTTAGAGAAGACAAAAATAAATAAATAAATAGATCCGAGGCAGCTAAGCATGGTAGTACATGCCTGTAATCCCAGGAATTAGGAGGATCCTAGTCCAAATCTGGTCCCAGACAAAAGCATGAGATCATACCTGAAAAATAACTAAAGCAAACAAGGGCCAGAGGATGTAGCTCAAGTGATACAGTGCCTGGCTAGCAAGCATAAGGACCACGTTCAAACTCCAGTACTGTCAAAAAGAAAAAGAAAGCATGATAAGAAATAAGGAAGCTGGGCACTGGTGGCTCACACCTGTAATCCTAGCTACTCAAGAGGCTGAGATCTGAGGATCGCAGTTCAAAGCCAGCCCCAGCAGGAAAGTCTGTAAGACTTTTATCTCCAATTAACCACCAGAAAACCGAAAGTAGTGCTGTGGTTCAAGTGGTAGAGTGCTTGCCTTGAGCTGAAGATCTGAGGGACAGCACCCAGGCCTAGAGTTCAAGTCCCACAGATGACAAAATAATAATAATGATGATGATGATGAAATAAGACTAACTCAGGTAGCTCTAACATCTGACAAAAAGAAACTGAAGAAATGGAGGGGGGAGAGGGGAAAAGAAGATGCTTCCCACAAAATAATGTAAAAATTTTCCTAGAACTGAAAGAATATCTAGGATTAGGGAGACCTCATGTCTAGCACATTACAATACTGAATGTTTTAAACACAGGGGATTTTAAGACTATCCTGTAAACTTCTGGGATGATAGTGAACTCAGACTTGGGAAATGGGTTACAAATGACATAAACATGAATGAAGGTTAAGACAAAATGATTTCCAATCTAATTCACTCAAAATACTCCAGTGTGAAGATGGAAAATTATTTTTTCATGAATATAGGCTCTCAGAAAACCTCCCACATAAGAAGAAAACACAGGCCCTAGCAAACACAGAGGCTCCCTGGGAAACCAGAGGCCCAGGGAGATAGAGGTGAGGACAGCTCTAGAACCATACCTGTTTCCCCCCACCTCGCTCCCTCGCTCCCTCTTCCCCCGCCCCTCTCTCTGGTAATATCGGGGAGTGAACTCAAAGCCTCACACTTGCTAGGCTGGACATGGTGGTAAGCAGCTGTACATAATACCAACAATAGGAGGCAGACACAAGAGAACCACAAGTCTGAGGCCACCCTGGACTACAGAATGAGACCTTGTCTCAGAACAACAGCAACAACAAAATGATACAAGGTAGTTCTCATCAAAGTTATAAATTAAAATGTATATTCTCTGCCTTTCTGGATGTCCATCCACCTGCTATTTCAGCCTAATTTTCATTAGGACAATTAGATAATAAGGGTGTTGCTGTTAAGATAAAAGTATTGTTTTCAATTTGTTGAAAATGCAGGAATACTACTTTTCCTGTTTCTCTCCACTCCCCCCACCACTGCATTATTATCTTCCCAAATGACAGAATCAGAGACAATGATTCCAGCTGGAATGCTGAGTATAATTACATCTTTTATAAACTCACATTATATCATTCTCAACATGGACCACTTTTTGATAAACGTAGATCACTTCAGGTTTCTATGAAGATTTTTTAAAACTAAAAAAAAAACTGAACTATATGTTAGCATCCATAAACTGCCATGAAATAAAAATATTTTAATGCTGCTGATTTGCAAAACAACCTTCTTAACCTTACCTACATCAATTTGTTTCATTTATTCATATAATTAAGCCATTTAAATATCTAAATAAGGGGGGTTTAAAAGTTGTCAAGCTATGGCTACAAGCTAACTATATAGCTGTAGATAAAACAAGAGTGTATGGCTTTTTTTCAGGTTGGTTCAAATCGCAATTGTCCAAATCTCAGCCTGAGTAGCTACATCTACAGGCATGAGCCACCACCATCCAACTTAAATCTCTTTGTCTAGAGTGACTTCATGAAGACTCTATTTAGAATGAGTAATGATACACTGTGCTGCATCACGACGTGACAGGAACTTTTCGGCTCTCTTGCAATTACATGGGACCATTGTTGTACATGTAGTCCCTCATTGATCAAAATATCTTTATGTGATACATGACTGTATTTCAACCCCCAATCTCAACTCTCTTACAAATATGTCATGAAGTCTTCTCCCAAGAGATAAAAAAACAAGGCTCCCTACATACCCCTGATTAATGGAAACAGATTTTCAGAGTTGCTCCATATGCCATTTAATTCCCTCCCTCCCTGACTCTAGAAATGCTTGATTCGGCTGTGTAAAAGTAATTTTAATTATAGTGATTTACATGAACTACTTACCATTTATGCCTAATTACCTCACAGCACAATAACAATTATGCATACATTAAGTGTGTCAGAGTTATCCTGGTTGTAAGTTTTATTTCATAACAAAAGTAAAGTGTCCATAGGTTTTCATTCTTCATAGTTTGCTACACGTATGGCCTAGTCTGCTTAAAACTTCTTCAAATATTCATTAGAAAAAGCATTGTGGGGCTGGGAAGGTGGCTCAGTGGTAGAGTGTTTGCCTTGCATGCTCAAGGCCCTGGGTTCGATTCCTCAGCACCACATAAGCAAAAAGAAAAAAGCCAGAAGTGGCGCTGTGGCTCAAGTGGTAGAGCACTAGCCTTGAGCTGAAGAGCTAAGGGACAGCACCCAGGCCCAGAGTTCAGGCCCCACGACCGGACCCAAAAAAAAAAAAAAGAAAAGAAAAGAAAAAGCATTGTTACATAGGTAAAGGCAGTGTAATATTAAGCCACCAATTCTTCCTTGCTGATTTATAAACCTGTGGAAGTATATTTTATTTTAATATGATAGCTTCAGCTTATAGAAAGTTTCTATAGGATTACAATGAGAAAAAAAAGAATGAAAAGTTTAAATATCTGCATTAAAACAAGCTGGGCACAAGGGACTCACACTTGTAATCCTAGCTACTCAAGAGGCTGAGATCTGAGGATCATGGTTCAAAGCCAGCCCAAGCAGGAAAATCCATAAGACTCATCTCTTATTATCCACCAGAAAACTAGAAGTGGTGTTGTGGCTCAAGTGGTAGAGTGCTAGCTCTTCAGCTCAAGGACAACGCCCAGGCCCAGAGTTCAAGCCCCCAGCCAACAACAACAACAAAAACAAATCAAGCAAGACACTAATGGCTCATACCTGTAGTCCTAGCGTCTCAGTAGGGGGAGATTAACAAGATAGCAGTTCAAAATACCCAGGAATAAATTTGAGATCCCATCTCAATCAATCATGGATGTGGTAGTAGTGCCTGTCATTCTAGTGACATAGGAGGCGTAATACAAGTATCACAGTCCAGGTAGACATTTAATTCAAAACTTGACAAAGGCAAAAAAGGGCTGGGAGTCAATAGCTAGCCACTCAGGATGCTGAGATCTGAGGATCATAGTTCAAAGCTAACCTAGTCAGGAAAGTCTGGGAGACACTTACCTCCACTAAAGTACTAAAAATCCTGGAAGTGTAGCTAGAGCTGGAGCTCGAGCTCAAGTGGTAGAGTGCTAGCCTTGAGCAAAAAAGCTTATGTATAGCACCTTGAGTTCAAGCCAAAGGACTAGTACCAAAAAAAAAAGGCAAAAGGGGCTCTGGATACCCTTAGGGGAAGGAACACAAAGGTATAATTTATGAAACATTAACATACTATTTCTCAAAATGATCTCCAAGAAATGGAAACATGGGTTTTTTTGTTATTGGTGGTGGTAGTGGTGATGTTTGTTTTCCCTTTGGATTATTTTTCTTTGGGGTGGTGGTGCATGGAAAGGGAGAGAGGAAGGATAAACAAATACAATCATGCTAGTAAGCATACACTATGAAGAAAATAACCTATGTAACTTGGGCAGGAATGAGAGGGGAAAACTGGAGGAAAGGAAAGGAAGGGGTGACATTGTCCAATAAAAGAAATGTACTCTGGAGCTGGGAAGGTGGCTCAGTGGTAGAGCGCTTGCCTTGCATGCATGAGGCCCTGGATTCAATTCCTCAGCACCACATAAGCAAAAAAAAAAAAAAAAAGCCGGAAGTGGCACTGTGGCTCAAGTGGTAGAGTGCTAGCCCTGAGCTGAAGAGCTGAGGGACAGCGTCCAGGCCCAGAGTTCAGGCCCCACGACCGGACCCAAAAAAAAAAAGAAAGAAAGAAATGTACTCATTACCTGACTTAGGAAATGGTAGCCCCTCTGAACAACACCTTAATAATAACAATAGATATTACTTGGAAAAACAAAAGGGGGGCTTTGGGCATGGCTCAAAAAGAGCCTGCCTAATGAGCACAAAGCCCTAAGTTCTACCCTCAGTACCAAAAGAGGGGAGAGAAATAGAGAAAGAGGGAGAGAGAAAGGAAAATGAGAGGAAGGAAGGAAGGAAGTCAATGCCTTAAATCCTAGCTACTAAGGATGTTAAAATAGGAGGATCACAGTCCAAGGCCAGCTCAAGCAAAAAAGTAAGATCCTATCTGAAAAAGAAACTAAAAGCAAAACGACAGGGAATATGGTTTAAGTGGTAGAGTGTTTGTCTACAAGTATGAGGCCCTGAGTTTACAAAAAAAAAAAAATCAGTCAGTATTATTTACAAGAATTAAAGACTCTGCTGGGCACTAGTGGCTCATGCCTATAATCCTAGTTATTCAGAAGGCTGAGATCTGAGGATCTCGTTCAAAGCCAGCCCAGGCAGGAACATCCGTGAGACTCTTATCTCCAATAAACCACTAGAAAACCAGAAGTGGCGCTGTGGCTCAAGCGGTAGAATGCTCGCCTTGAGCTGAAGAGCTGAGGGACAGCGCCCAAGCCCAGAGTGCAAGCCCACAACTGACAAAAAAAAAAAAAGAATTAAAGACTCTACAAATAAAATTTCTATTACTGAAAACTAGTGCTTTACCACTTGAACCACAGCTCCACTCCGGTAGTTTACTGCAGCTAAGAGTCTCATGGATTTTCTTGCCTGGGCTGGCCCTGCCTGAGCTGTAATCCTAAAATCTAATCCTCCTAAGTAGCTAAGATTATAGGTGTGGGCCAGGGGTGCCCAGCAATGTCTTTTTCTAAAGAGTTTACCACAACAAAAAAAGAAAAAGAAAGAAAGAAGAAAAAAGAAAGTTGGGTTGGAGGAAAAGACAGAGTAGTGACCAGTCAATTAAGGAAGAATTGGTTTCTTAGGTTGAATCAGATTATAATTTTTTTTTTCCTGGTCATGGGGCCTGAACTCTGGGCCTGGGCACTATCACTCAGCTCTTCAGCTCAAAGCTAGCGTTCTATCACTAGAGTCACAGAGCCACTTCCAGCTTTTTCTGCTTATGTGGTGCTGAGGAATCGAACCCAGGGCCTGGTGCATGCAAGGAAAGCACTCTACCACTGAGCCACTTTCCCAGCCCCAGATTATAACTCTTATTACTACTAACATCTCTCATGATTTAAAGTTGATGCCACTGATGACATTGGCTTTACTAACTGGATAAGGAATGAGAGTTTTCCTGTAGTGGCAGAATTTCAGCAAAAGCTCAGTGGAGATGAAAGGAAGTAATCCCTTCCCCTCAACACACACCCTAAGACCATGCATGATTTATATCCATGTAGGAAGTGGTATTTCATAGTACTGGTTTTTTTTTAATTTTTATTAATTTTTTTTTGTATGTGGTACAAAGGAATCAAACCCAGGGCATCATGCATGCTAAGCAAGCACTCTACCACTAAACCACATTCCCAGTCCAGCGCTGGGGTTTTAACTTAGAGCTTTGTACTTGTTAGGCAGGCAATCTACTACTTGACCTCAGACCCTGCAGGGATTATTTTAAAAGAAAAACATAGGCAAACCAGGTATAATGTCTCATGCCTAGAATCCCAGCACTCCTGAGTCTGAGGTAAGATGATCTTGAGTGTGACGTTAATCTAGGCTACACAGCATGATACCCCCCCCCCACCCAAAAAACAGGTTAAGAGGAAAAATATAAAAATAAAAAAGGTCTAAAACCAAAATGAAATGAAAAACAAGTGATCAAGGCAGAAAGCTGTGGCTTTACCATGCCAATTGCAGGAAGGGTTCCCAAGGAGATTAAGGTTGAGAGTAAGTTGAGATGAGTATATACCATTCCAAGCCAGATGCTCGCTTAAGTGAGGAAGATCCACAGGCAGCTAGCAGAGCAGAGTGTGGAAGAGTTCTTGGAAGAACTTGACATGCATCCTCAGGAATATAGGGGTTTACAGGACAAAGATATTTGGTGCCTACTTCTTCCTTACAGAACTCCAAGGACAAGAAGTTGACTGAAGCTGCCCACAAAGTAGGGGCTAGTGGAACCAAATATTATGCTTCCTGTGTCCTAAGTGGACACCATGAAAGGTGATTCAGCCAGGACCATTGTAAAAGAACTTGCCCCAAGAAGGCTAACTGTAAGAGCAAGAGGGTCCCAGAGTCTTGAGAACGTAATCAAATAGAACACCATGAAGGTCACCATGAGTCTGGAAAAGACTACAAGTGCAGCCCAAATAAAGAGCTAACAGCCTCAACAAACAGCCTCCAGAAATTGACTGGGTACCTACCACTCTGATGTGTTGCCCTACTCTTTCCTATCTCTCATGCTTAGGAAAGCAAGACAAGAAAGGAGAAAGACAAAAAGAGCAATTTAAAACTTAAAAACACTTAACTTAAGCCAGGTACCGGTGGCTCACATCTCTATCCTAGCTGCTCAAGAGGCTGAGATTTGAGGATTGCAGTTTGAAGCCATCCCAAGAAAGAAAGCCTGTGAGACTCTTATCTCCAATTTACTACCTGGAAGTAGAGCTGGGGCTCATGTGGTAGTCCTAACTGTCCTTGAACACAAAAGCTCAGGGACAGTGGCTAGGCCCTAAGTTCAAGCCTCAGGACCGGCATTTAAAAAAAAAAAAAGTGGCTCAAGTAGAAGATCATTAGCCTAGCAAGCACAATGCCTTGAATTCAAACTCTAATCTCACACACACACACACACACACACACACACACACACACAAATCACTAAAAAGGAAAAACCATATCCCTTTCTCCACAACTCTTCCCAGACTAAGAGCTGAGCTAGAAGAAAGGGAGAGGTTGGAATTGTGTCAAAATTTTGTTGAGACTGGACTTGGGATTTTTTGTTGTTGCTATTTTTGTTTTGCCAGTTCTGGGGCTTGAACTCAGGGCCTGGGAACTGTCCCTATGCCTCATTTGCTCAAGTCTAGCTCTCTACCACTTGAGTCACACCTCCACTTCCAGCTTTTTCTGTTTATGTGTTACAGAGGAATTAAACCCTGGGCTCCATGCATGCTACCACTCTACCACTAAACCATATTCCCAGCCTGCATTTCATCTTTTAATAACCTATAAAACTGCTTGAGGGGCTGGAAAGGTGGCTCAGTGGTACAGTGCTTGCCTTGCATGCATGAGGCCCTGGGTTTGATTCCTCAGCACTGTATAAACAAGAAGAAGCCAGAAGTGGCGCTGTGGCTAAAATGGTATAGCAGTTGCCTTGAGCTGACGAGCTCAGAGACAGCACCTAGGCCCAGAGTTCAAGCCTCATGACTGACAAAAAACAAAAACAAAAAACTGCATGAATCCATGAAGAAGAAAGCAAACTATGGAACATGGAAAGCTGACAACACTCCTTTAAAGAAACTGATAGGGGGCTAGGAAGGTGGCTCAGTGGTAGAGCGCTTGCCTTGCATGCCTGAGGCCCTGGGTTTGATTCCTCAGCACCACATAAGCAAAAAGAAAAAAGCCGGAAGTGGCGCTGTGACTCAAGTGGTAAAGTGCTAGCCTTGAGCTGAAGAGCTGAGGGACAGCGCCCAGGCCCAGAGTTCAGGCCCCATGACTGGACCCAAAAAAATAAAAAATAAAGAAACTGATAGGAAACTTTCCAGCTGTTTCATGATCATGCCCCATTGCCCTGAATCCTTTTTATAAAATGCCTGCACTTTTAAAAAAATTTTAGACTTTTTTTGCAAATTTTTTATTGTGATTAAGTGATTATATAACTTCACAAATTTCACAGTATTGTGGAATAGTCACAAACACATTCTAACCTTCATGGGGAAAATTGTCCATTGTGGTCTATAAAGTTTATGAATTCTATGGATTTTGACTATACAGTTATTTCTTCCACATTGGGTGATATGTACATTCCTTTCCTTTTGCATAGTGTCAGCTGTTCCCTCTTTCCCACTCATTCCCTCCCTCCCATCGCTGCCATTGAGTTGCTTGGTTCGTTTTGATCAAAGTCCAGTGCAGCTGATGGGTCCCACTGTTGTATGTTTTCCCCTGTTTCCCTCTAGTTCTGTGTCTTCCTCCTAGTTTCCCTCCAATGTGCACATATATACCATATATGTGATCAGCAGCATGGGGTCATTTAGTAATGATTCAACCAGATGAGTGGAGGTCCTTTGTTTCTTGAGTCTTGCTTACTTTGTCGTATCACCTTACGTTTTGGATTTAACATGCACTTATCAGGGAGACCATGTGCCGTTTGTCTCTTTGCTCTTGGCTTACCTCACTCAACATGATTTCTTCTAGTTTCATCCATTTCCCTGCAAATGCCATTATTTTGTCCTTTCTAATGAAATGCCTACACTTTTAACTTTTCCATTTGTCACACAAACCTTACCTTTGACAAAAAGCCTTCTGCCTCTACACTGTACCCTTTAAGGTCTTCATATAACTTTTGCAAACACTGGATGACTCTTCTTTGATGTTCATCATCTTTTAGCTCACAAGCTTTGATCAGAAAGTCATAATGGTCCAGGGGTCCTTGGCAAATAGCCAAAGCTTTCAAATGGGCCTCAGAAGCAGCAGTTGAGGTGATGCTCTCCAATGTCTGAACTGTATAGGCTATAAACAAAAACACATGACATTTTAGACTTAATTTTTTAGACTTATTTAATAGTGCTAGTGCCCCAAACACTTGGTGCTAGAGATTTAACCTAAGGTTTCTTGCATGCTAAATACATGCTCTACCACTAAGCAATGCCCTTATCCACACTTTCCTTCTTCTCCTTCCTTCCTTCTTTGTTTCCTCCTTTTTTTTTTTTTTTTTTTTTTTGAGACAGGCTTTAACTATGTAGCCCACAATATCCTGGAATTCTAGATCCTCCTGCCTCAGCTTCTCCCTCCAGTGCTGGGACGTGCCACCAGTTGGTGCCCTTCTTTGTTTTCCAGAAGCAACAATTAATAACAGTAACTTAGCACATTCTTTTTTTTTTTTGGTCAGTCATGGGGCCTGAACTCTGGGCCTGGGCGCTGTCCCTCAGCGTTCAGCTCAAGGCTAGCGCTCTACCACTTGAGCCACAGCGCCACTTCTGGCTTTTTTCTTTTTGCTTATGTGTTGCTGAGGAATTGAACCCAGGGCCTCATGTATTCAAGGCAAGCGCTCTGCCACTGAGCCACCTTCCCAGCCCTGAATAGAAGTTTAAGGCTGTTCGTATATTACATTTCCTCTCTTCTCTTGTAGTCAAGTATGGACATGGGATCAAATCCAAACAATGAGATATAAGCAAAAAGATGGGGGATACATCCTCCCACCTCACTTTTACTGCCCACTATCTATAGATGAAATTGAAGGAAACTAGTCAGTGTTCTAGCTGCCTCCATTTTTGTCCCTCTCTATCTACTTTTTGTTTTTTTCTCCTGGAGTCCAGGAAGGATAGGACTGACAAATATTTTTATGACAAAAAAAATAATAAAGCAGCACTAGCAAGCCTCCCAGGACAGATCATCTTATAAGCTCACAGTCTCTTCAAATGACAACAGTTACCTATGACACCACTATTACCTCATGGGAACCATATTTCCACCCTCAAGTGATAGCAATAATCACAACTCCTCCCCCCCCCAACCCCTTGTAGGAGCAGAACTGAGATCATGATGAGGCAGGCCACTGGCCTAACCAAGATCATCTGCTCTGTCACATGTGCATACCCTAGACCTCTCCTTTTCTAGAAAAATTTCAAAGTTCTTGTTAGTCCCTTCAAAAAGGATGTGAGGTCACTGAACCTTCTTTCTAACATGGTCACATCGGTTAAACTTCTCAGGGGGTGGGAATGTCACTTAACAGTAGAGTGCTTGCCTAGCATGCATGAGGCCCTGGGTTCAATTCCTCAGTACCACATAAATTAAAAAATGAAAATAAATAAATAAATATGATAAAATTCCTTTCTTTGTCCTTTACCATACCTGTCCCTATGACTGGCATTTTGGAACAGGTAGCAAAGCCTAGCCCATTGGGAACCTGAAGTTAGTGCTTTGGCTCTAAAATCTTAGTAACAGAAGTGCAATAAGCTGGGTGCACATGGCTCATGCCTGTAATCCTAGCTACTTAGGAGGTTTCGATCTGAAGACTGCGGTTCCAAGCCAGCATGGCCAGGAAAGTCCATTAGACTCACCTTCAATAAACTACTCAGGAAAAGCCAGAAGTAGCATTGTGGCTCAAGTGGTAGAACACTAGCCTTGAGCACAAACAGGCTCAGGGAAAGTGACCAGGACCAGAGTTCAAGCCCCAGGACTGAGGAAAAAAAATACAATGGTTGAGATTGCTAGAGGCAATCAGGGCAACAATATGTACAGACTTACGAAGAGTAGTGAAGTATATAGAAACTCGTTGTCTAACAATGCTGACTAGCCAAATCAACTCAGGAGTAGCTACCTAGACGTTTTTTCTTTCTTTTTTTTTCTTTCTTGTTTTGAGATTTTAAATATAGTACTGATGTTTAAAGTCAGGACCTTGCCTTGTACTTACTAAGCAGATGGTCTACCACTTAGACTACACCTTTAGCCCTTTTTGCCTTAGTTATATTTAGATAGGGTCTTTTTTTTTTTTTTGGTCTGGGCTTGCTACAGACTATGATCCTTCTATTTCTACATAGCTGGGATCACAGTCATGAATCACCCCAACTAGCGTGTTCTTTGAAAATAGAATGTCACTATCTGCCTGGGTTTGTTCAAACCTCTATTCTCCTGCCCTCTGCCTCTCAAATAGTTGGGATTACAGTTGTAAGCCACTGACAGCCCTTAAATATTTTTTAATACTCTTCCTACATATTCAGAGATCTCATTGCCCTCATTAACCACCTCTACTAGGTCTTTTGTTCTGTTTTGTTTTTGTCAGTAATGGTGCTTGAACTCAGGGCTGGGCACTGTCCCTGAGCTTTTTCACTCAAGGCTAGTACTCTACCACTTTGAGCCATTGAGCCAATTCCAGTTTTCTGGTAGTTTTTTGGAGATAGAAGTTTCATGGTCTTTCCTGATCTTGCTGGCTTCAAACTGTGATCCTCAGATTTCAGCCCTCTGAGTAGCTATGGTTACAGGCATGAGCCACTGGTGCCCAGCTCCAGGTTTTTGTTTGGCTTTGTTTGGTTTGGTATTGTTGGTCAGGGCCCTCTCCATAGCTCAGGCTAGTCTTGAACTCATAGTCCTCTTGCATCTGCCACCTAGATACTGGAATTACTAGGATGAGCCACAAACCTGGCATTCTATTATTTTTTTCCTATCACTCAACCATTTCCCATCTTTTTGGAAAACACCAATAATAATAACAAAGCCTTGATCCAATAGTCATAAAACATATGGCCTTCCTCCTTCCTTTCACAGCCAAATTACCCCCAGTGACCTCTACTTTCTGTGGTCTCACCCTCACATTCTGCTCATTTCTCAACCCACTGTGATCAGACTTCTGCTGAGATAGCTTATGCCAAGGAGGCCAAATACAGCAGCTACTTCTCAGTCTTCATTGCCCTGTTTACAATTGCAAGCTGCCTCATTTTAAGGAGTTATTCATAAGAAATATCAGGACTAGGGACAAAGTATGTTGTTTCTTTTTGGATCTGTTTCCATTTTAAGGAGTTATTCATAGAAAATATCAGGACTAGGGACAAAGTATGTTGTTTCTTTTTGGATCTGTTTTGGAGGAACTTAAAGTCCTTCACATCTGCTTTTATTTTCACTAGCCTAACATCTTTAGTTAGTAGTATGTACTTTCTTCTCATTTTTCAGAAAAGAAAACCAAGGTACATTGAAAATGGATCATTCACTGAGCTAGCCTGCAATCATAAAAAGAGAAGCAGTCGGCAAGATACTCAAGGCTGAGCTGAGAGATTGGCCAGCTTAGCCCTTGGATAGCAGCTGTATAAATTGAAATACAAAAGACTTCTCAAAAGCCGCACTAAATTAAATCTGTTACTACATCAGTGTACACAAATTATGTGATGCTGCTGCCATATTATTTTGATTTGTATTAATTTGTCTTATTGTACTACAAATGGACAGTGGGAAAATGCCATTTTGAAGTACCACACACTAATCTACAAACATAAATGGAAGACTGTAGAAGCCCAAAAAGTCTGTGCTATTTTTTCTGACACCTCAATTTTGTACCTTATTTCATTGCTTTCTCCAAAACCAAGTTTTAGGATGACCCTACTACACTCCATAGCCTACTTGCTACAAGATTAAGTCAGGGCTAGCATGTGGTACATATCTGTGCACCAACTACTTGGGAGGTTAAAGCAAGAGGACCCCAAATTCAAAGCCAGCTAAACAACTAAAATCCTGTCTTGAAATAAAATTAAAAGGAATGGGAGCCAGGTACCAATGGCTTATGCTTATAATCCTAGTTACTCAGGAGGCTGAAATGTGAAGATCACAGTTCAAAGCTAGCTCAGGCAGACAAATCTTAGAGACTCTTATCTCCAATAACCAGCAAAAAGCTGGAATTGAAGCTGTGACTTAAGTAGTAGAGCACAAGCCTTGAGAGATTAAAAGTCAAGCCAGACAATAAGGCCCTGAATTCAAGTCCCAGTACTGGCATAAAAATAATAAATAGAATAAATGAAGTAAAAGCAAAGTTTTGCATCAGTGGCTATGCCTATAATCCTACCTACTCAGGAGGCTGAGATCTGAGGGTCACAGTTTGAACCCAGTCTGGACTAGCTATAATTAGCCAGCTAAAAGCAGGAACTATAGGTATGGCTCAAGTGGTAGAACACCAGCCCTAAGTTAAAAAAAAAAGAGTGTGAAACCCTGAGCTCAACCCCTAGTATTGGAAAAAAAAAAAGTGGAAGCAGAATGGGAATTATATAATATGTAAATGATATTTCCATTATTATACAGCTTTGTTTTAAAAGTGGAAGCAGAGCCAGGTGCCAGTGGCTCATGTCTGTAATCCTAGCTACTCAAGAGACTAAAAGCAGGACACCAAATTCAAGGCCAGCTAGTGCTATAATAGACCCCATCAACAACAGATTAGGAAACATTTATATAAACCAAAAACGCTAAATTCATTTTAACAACTTAAGGTTTTCTTCTCAAAAGGGGGATTTCATTTGAAAATTCTGAGATAGAAATATGGCAGAGTAAGGGCTGGGAAGGTGGCTCAGTGGTAGAGCGCTTGCCTTGTATGCATAAGGCCCTGGGTTCAATTCCTCAGTACCACATAAGCAAAAATTCAAAAGCCGGAAGTGGCACAGTAGTTCAAGTGGTAAAATGCTAGCCTTGAGCTGAAGAGCTGAGGGACAGAGCCCAGGCCCAGAGTGCAGGCCCCACGACCGGACCCCCCCCCAAAAAAAAAAAAAAGAAAAGAAATATGGCAGAGTAGCCGGGCACTGGTGCTCATACCTGTAATCCTACCTACTCAGGAGGCTGAGATCTGAAGATCATGGTTCAAAACCAACCTGGGCAGGAAAGTCCATGAAACTTTGATCTCCAAATACCCACCAGAAAATCAGAAGTGGTGCTGTGGCTCAAGTGGTAGAGCACTCACTTTGAGCTGAAGAACTGAGGGGCAGTGTCCAGGCCCAGAGTTCAAGCCCCTTGACCGACACCAAAAAAAAACAAAAAAA